GTGGTAAAAAATTCTTTATAAAAAGTTTTTATTTATAACAAATGAAACAAAATAATTTTCTTTATCCATTAAAATAAAATTAATTTAGCAACACCCTCCTTTACCTTTCTTTGAGGTTTCTTTATCAACTGATGCCAAGTTAATAGAAACTTCTTCATTGTTATTTTGTGCTTCAACTTTTGGTAAAGTGACAATTTCTTTTGTTAACGTCTCAAACATCTCATTTATTCCAGCCCCTGTTTTAGCAGATACTTCAAAATACTTCAACCCAAATTCTTTGGCTCGTGCCTCTCCTTCCTCTTTAGTAATAACACGTTCACTTAAATCAACTTTATTTCCAGCTAACACTAGAACCCTTTTTTCTTCAATTTTGTTACATGCATCAATCCAATTGGAAATATTTTCAAATGATTGCCTATTACTAACATCAAACATAATAACTCCTCCCATAGCATTTCTGAAGTAATTACTACTTAGTGTAGCAAATCTTTCTTGTCCAGCAGTGTCCCAGATTTGAAGTTTAACTTTGATTCCATTAACCTCAATTTCTTTTGAAACCATTCCTACTCCAACTGTTGACTTTGTTACTTCACTAAACTGATCACTCACAAATCTATTCATACAACACGTCTTTCCAACTGATGACTCCCCAATCATAATAAGTTTCATTTTCATTTTCTCATTCAAATTTTCTCCAACATTAATTGCGGTGTCAACCTTTTCTTCTTTAATAGACTCTTTACTAGGTGATGTTGTAATAGCAACACTAACTCCCTGTTTAGCTTTCTCTTCTGCTTCTTGTTTAGCTTTCTCTTCTGCTTCTTTCTTTGCTTTTTCTTCTGCTTCTTTCTTTGCTTTCTCTTCTGCTTCTTTCTTTGCTTTTTCTTCTGCTTCTTTCTTTGCTTTCTCTTCTGCTTCTTTCTTTGCTTTCTCTTCTGCTTCTTTCTTTGCTTTCTCTTCTGCTTCTTTCTTTGCTTTCTCTTCTGCTTCTTGTTTGGCTTTTTCTTCTGCTTCTTTCTTTGCTTTTTCTTCTGCTTCTTGTTTAGCTTTCTCTTCTGCTTCTTTCTTTGCTTTCTCTTCTGCTTCTTTCTTTGCTTTCTCTTCTGCTTCTTTCTTTGCTTTTTCTTCTGCTTCTTTCTTTTGCTTTCTCTTCTGCTTCTTTCTTTGCTTTCTCTTCTGCTTCTTTCTTTGCTTTCTCTTCTGCTTCTTTCTTTGCTTTCTCTTCTGCTTCTTTCTTTGCTTTCTCTTCTGCTTCTTTCTTTGCTTTCTCTTCTGCTTCTTGTTTAGCTTTCTCTTCTGCTTCTTTCTTTGCTTTCTCTTCTGCTTCTTTCTTTGCTTTCTCTTCTGCTTCTTTCTTTGCTTTCTCTTCTGCTTCTTTCTTTGCTTTCTCTTCTGCTTCTTTCTTTGCTTTCTCTTCTGCTTCTTGTTTAGCTTTCTCTTCTGCTTCTTTCTTTGCTTTCTCTTCTGCTTCTTTCTTTGCTTTTTCTTCTGCTTCTTTCTTTGCTTTTTCTTCTGCTTCTTGTTTAGCTTTCTCTTCTGCTTCTTTCTTTGCTTTCTCTTCTGCTTCTTTCTTTGCTTTCTCTTCTGCTTCTTTCTTTGCTTTTTCTTCTGCTTCTTTCTTTGCTTTTTCTTCTGCTTCTTGTTTGGCTTTTTCTTCTGCTTCTTCTCTTGCTCTTTCTTCTGCTTCTTGTTTGGCTTTTTCTTCGGATTCTTTTTTTTCACTAAGCGTTACCTCGTCAGTCTTTGTAGTACTTTCATCACTCTCGCTTGTTTTAGTTTCTTCGTTAATTTCTTTTCTTTCGTCTGTTGTTGTAATTTCAGGTTTTTGTTCATCCTTTTTCTCTTCAATTATTTGTTCTTCACTGTTTTGGATTGTTTCCTGTTTTTTTTCTTCAGTTATTTCTTCATTGAAAATAGGAACTGCATTATTCTCTTCAGTCATTATGGCTTTTATCAATAAACAGTTCTCATTCCAAACCCTTCTAACACTATTTTTAATTTTCTTTCAATGTTCTTTC